ATGTACCTTTTTGAAACCTGAAGTTTCCTGTTTTTGTTTACTTGTATTTTTTGAAACCTGAAGTTTCCTGTTTTTGTTAACTGTTTTTCATCTTCCATTCGAAGATTGTTTTTTGTTGCTAATAAAACTCCTGAAGGAATGTGATAGTGTCTCAGTGCTGGGTTCTTCAACTACCAGTGTCTCAGTGGTAAGGAGTCCACACTCACACGCCAGGGACCCGGGTTCGATCCCCGAGCCTGACAGTGGCAGATAAAGTCACAAGCTGTCAAAGACAGCCCTATTCTCTGCCTTTAAGATACTTCACTGAGCCCTCACATGTCAGAATCCTTGCTTGTAAAATACAGCCACACTTTAGAACGCTTAGTTTAAGCAAATTTGATGAAGGCCATCGTGCGTGTCGATGAATCTGAAGTGATCCCTCCCTCGCTCACCAAGTCCACTATACTGCGCACATTGTCAGTGTGTCTGTGTGTGTGTGTCTATGTTTGTGTGTGTGCGTGTGTAGTCCATTTACAGTCCAACATGGAAATCATTTGTGTTTGTTATTGGCATTGATTGTTTTGAAATTCAAATGGCAATTAAATGCCTGAGATTTTATTTCTGTAATAAATAGGGCGTTTTGTAATTAATCATGATTAATTACAAAAAAGTGTGATTAATTACCTACATTTTTTTAGTCATTTGACAGGCCTAGTTTTAACTATTATAGTCATGAGGGGGCGACACTGTGGCTAGCACTGTCACCTCACAGCAAGAAGGTCGCTGGTTCGAGCTCCAGCTGGGTCAGTTGGCATTTCTGTGTGGAGTTTGCATGTTCTCCCCATGTTGGCGTGGGTTTCCCCCGGGTGCTCCGTTTTCTCCCACAGTCCAAACACATGAGCTATAGGTGAATTGAGTAAGCTAAAATGGCCATAGTGTATGAGTGTGTATGGGTGTATTCCCCGTAGGGAAATTTCATTTGCAGCATACTCTCACAGAGTCTTCTGGCATTTCACATTTGGCATATATATGTATATATGAATAAAAACGTGGCACCCCTACTCTAAGTAAATATCCAGTATGCTAGCCATCAACTGCTACTGAGGGAGGAGGAATTTAAAAACTTAATTGCTTGGGACATAAATGATATTTTCCCTATTTCTCACACACCTGGGAACACAATAGACCCTTTTGAGGGATGTAAACAAAAACAACAGTCCAAACGTGTTTCCTGTTTTACGTTTTTAATTTCTACAGCAGGGGTGGCCAACCCTGTTCCTGAAGAGCTACCTTTTAGCAGATTTCAGTTGCTACCATATCAAACACACCTGAACCAATTAATAAGTGTTGTAAATGAGGACGATGCCAATCCTCTCGTGCACCACCAGAGGGAGCCATCGCCCGAATTCTAATTCGACTCACGGACTCAAAATCCCATAAGCCCTTCTACCTGTCACTGATTGCGGTCCAGGTGCCTCTCATCATCTCAGCGCATTTATACCACACTCACGCTCTGGTTCATTGCGAAGTCTTGATTTGCCCTGCTGTCATTACTGAGCGATCTTTACTCCACGTCTCCGATTGATCTGTGTTTTGACCCTTTGCCCGACTCAACGATTAAGAAAGACGTCTGCCTGCCCTGAACTCCAGCCTGTTATTCCGACTAAGTAAGATATCTGCCTGCCTTTGAACTGTAGCCTGTCCTTCGTTTTGATTCCTGGTTTGCCCCTTGTTGTTGTTTGTATGTGTGCTTTCAATAAAGCTTGCAAATGGATTCAATGCCGTCTGACTCATCACAACAATAAGGACCTGAGCACCACGTGATAATTACAGGCAGGCGTGTTTGATATGGGTTGCAACTGAAATCTGCAGGAAGGTGGCTCTCCAGGAACAGGGTTGGCCACCCCTGCTCTACAGCTTCCAAGAATCCAAAAAGAGCCACATATTGATAATGTTATGATAGCTGTTTCAACATTAGGTTAATATTGAAATGCCTCTTGTTACACTTTTGAAATACTTTGATTACAAGCAGAAGTGTTTATGGGCCTAATGACAAGACCATATTTACATGGTCTATATCGATGATCTGATGGTAACAATTGGAAGGTGTTTGATAAAGGAAGTCTCTCATTATTGACAGTCATGATAGCCCTATTTAGTATTTCTTTGTACTGTATATATTATCAGTGGTCTTCAGTTTTATTTCCAACAACTTACTGGCTGTTGTTACCACCCTCCCCAGTGACCTCTTAAAGACACTAAGCGAAGGAAAATGAAGGGAAAATAGTCCTGAAAAGTCTTAAATTTGACTTGATGAAACCTGTAGAAACCCAGTTGAATTCTATTTTACTTTTGATCACACAGATAGGATTGTGTTTTTGATGCCATCTTGTGGCCAGATGCGAAAATTTATCTGGTGTACAATTATCCAGTGCATTTTGGGGATTTTCTACCTCTTGAGCATACATGGGCTGTGTCTGAAATCACCTACTACTCGACTATGTACTACGTTTGAAATTGAGTTTACTACATGACCATTTGAAAAGCGCTTAATATATAGTATGAATGTGAGTACTAAGAATGAAACTCAGAAGTACTACATGACCTACCTGCATGGGCAGATTTAGGCATGGGCAATGTGGGCGATCGCCCAGGGCGACATCTTGCTAGGGTCAGCATGGAGACTCAAACACCCTCCCCCCACGCTCTTCACTTTGGTCCATGAAAGGGTGGCATGAAAGTCTGGATCTTACAAGGGCATGGAGATAACGCCACACATCCCCCTCTCTTCACTGTCGTCCGCAAAAAGGTGGCACGAACGCCAGTATCTTACAGTATCTTACAATCAACCCCCTCCCCCAGCGCTCTTCACTTTCGTCCGTAAAAGTCTGTATCTTACAAGGGGCGGCATCGAGATAACGCCACCCAACCCCCACTCTTCACTGTCATCCGCGAAAGGGCGGCACGAACGCCAGTATCTTACACCCAATCAGCCCCCCCCCCCCCCACTTTTCTTCACTTTCGTCCTGCATTTTCGACTGCCGCTTGCCTAGAGCACCAGTTAAGCTTGCGCCGCTACTGCCTACCTGTGTCGGTTGCAAAGTTTTACTCCTATTCATGAATACTCCCGTGTTGCATTATGGGACAGCGTAGCGTCCATTGGATGCACACTTCAGAATCTCACTAGAATTAGTAGATAAACTGGGTACTTCTCGCTGTCATGACTGTGTTCGTCCACCAGATGCCACTGTAGTTCGCCAGCAACCCCCAGCGAACTACAGTGGCTTTTGAACTACATTTCCATACATTTTCCATACATTTCCATACACACACCCGGTCTGTCATCTACACTGATTTACAACCACAGCTGTCTCTGTTCTCCGTTGATTACCTGGGGCCTCATGTACGAAGACTTGCGTGGAAATCTTACTAAAACATTGCGTACGCACATAAGCTGTAAATGTGCGTACGCAGAAAAAAATTCAGATGTATGAAACACTGCGTACGCCGAATATCACGCATATTCTTTTGTACATCTGAATGAACGTGAAACTGAGCGCAACATGCACGAGCACAAAACCCCTCCCTGCCTCCCCCCCCGTATGAATATGCTAATGACTATGCTAATGGCAAAACCCAACGAAAAAGCAACGGCAAAATCAAGCAAAAAGAGAAACTTTGAACAGAATGTGAAATGGAGGTGCTGCTTTCGGAGGTAGACCGGAGAAAAGCGGTGTTATTTGCAAGTTTGTTCTCCGGAATTAACAACAAAAGAAAAAAATAGAGTGGGAGAGTTTAGCTGATACGGTTAACACATTTGGGTCTGAACATCGCACTGAGTGCATTTAAAAAAGAAATAGTGTGGTTTATATCTGTAAAATGTTGCAGCACCCTTAGCAGTCTCAGTAGCGCACCTCGTAAGACGTATGTGATTATGTACTGACACGTTCAAGCATAAACTCGGCTCGAATCCAGCGTCTGATGAACTCTTTCTTCTTTTTTTCCCCGCTACATATCAGATTTTGCCCAGTATTTATCACGAGAAAGACAAGTAGGAATCATCAATAAGTTTGTGCATCATATTTTATTTGCACATTTATTGAATGGAAATGTTTCTGATTCACGCATGCAAATTCATCTTCACATAGTATCTTTATAGCAATGTGCGTGCAGTAGATTGCTCAGATTAGGAAAACAGGCGACCGCTGCAAATTGTGCTTTAATGTTTAGCTGGTCAACTGTATGGTATGGAAATCTTACATACCTACTATATGAACCCGTCTCATACAGACGCCATTGCAAGGATCAGACACTTTGTAGAGAGGAATTTAACACAACTGCCTCTAGGAGTCGCCAATGGAAATAAAACAGACACGCACAAAAAATGTGCGTACGCCTGCCAGAAAGCTGCCGTGAACCTGCGCACATTCCCACGTTCAGTTCATTGTTAGTAAATCCAAACGTGAGCGATTCTGAGCGTGAAACCTGGCGTACGCAAAGTTTTTGTGCGTACGCAGCGTTGATACATGAGGCCCCAGGACTATATATTCAGTCTTTCATCCTCTGTTGGTCGTTGTCGTCTTTGGTATGTTGTTCCTAATCCTTGCTCTTGTATCTTGTTGTAGTCTAGTTCGAGTTTAATCTGTCTTAGTTTCTTGTTTTGTTTGTTTGTTTGCTATTTTGTTACTTTGTACTTTGGATTTTTGGATTTTTTGTCACTTTCACTGCACTATACATCAATTAAACTGCACTTGGATTCTACAAACTGTTTTTGTTCCTGTTTACAATCCCGTAACGTGACACTCGCATACTGTTTTTTCAATACTATGGATTCTGACATACTACTTGGCTTGCATACTGTTTTTAGCGCACTATATAGTATGGAAGTATGCGATTTAGGATACAGCCACAGTTTGTAGACTTTTTATTGCCGTGCATTTATTGCTCCTTCAAACAGTGCACTACTTCAGGGTATAGAGGGTGTATGATTTCAGATTCAGCCTCATGTCTGTGTTTTTCAGATGTATCAGCATGGCCGGGATCTCTGCGAGAGTCTTTGGGGCGACGCGTTCATGACTGTTGAAGACGACCCCGGTGAGGAGGACGGAGTGGAGGGCTCCAGCTGCGGCTGTCTGACGCTCAGCCCTTCAGATCGAGAGGTGATCGCGGCGCTGAGGGTTCAAGAAGGAGACCCTGAGGAGCTGGACACCACTAAAAGTGGTCTGCCGCAGTACAGGGCGCCGTGTCCTCCAGCGCAGCCTCAAACACGCAGCGCCACAGCGCCACCGCAGGCGCGGAGGAGCAGTGTGAGCAACGGACTGCGCAAACGCTCCGTCCTCGCCACTGATATGGAGGGAAGTGGAAGCGGATTTTAGATTATTATCTGTGCTTTAGATCTGATGAATGTTTCTTAACCCTTGTGTATTGTTCAGATGTACTACCCTTTCGTTATGTTCGGGTTTTGCCCCAATGACTTCCATTTATAATGACGCTTTTTGATTGCAATGCCTTGACACCATACCCAGCAAGCATTTTTTTGTTTTTAATAGATGTCTAATAGATGTTTGAACTTATCTTGGCTAAAACAAAGATAATTTGGGGCTGTCAGTGAAAATAGATGTCTCAAAATAAGCCAAAGCTAGACTAGTCCTGAAATAAACAGAAATGATTGACTACACACATTAAGTCTGTCTAATCCAAAGGTGTCAAACGTATGGCCCGCAGATGATTCTGTAAAGTATAAAAATGAGCTGCAATTTTTCAATAAAAGAAACCGCTGTTCCAGTTGTGTCCACTGGATGGCGCAATAGCAGACTATTAATTTTATCCGATCCGGAAGACTGAATAAGCGTTAGTTTGACAGCCTTCTCAGAGAGAAAGACCACATCTATGCCCTGCCACACCACACTAAGGTGATCTCTTGTGGAAACGTAACAAAGGAGGCGTGGCAACCAACCACACCCCTAAACTCAACCATCATTGGTGGATGAGCAAATCCTACTAAATTGTACGAATGAGATTGTACGTCGGTCCCCACTAAGTTAGGGACCACAAATCTTTTTGAGCAAGTAATGAGCAAAAATAAAAGAAATTTACAAGCAATTGAATCACGAATGATAATCTCCCCGGAAATTGCGTGTCGCAACCCCCCTCCACCCGCTCTTCAAATTCGTTGCGCATCCCATTCTCTTCCCACCTGTCTTCTTATCATAGCTTCACATAAGTCACCGTGCACTCCCCTCCCACCCCTACCCTCTCCAACTGCTCTTCAAATACGTTACGCAATGACCCCCCTCCCCCCTGGTCTTTAAATACATTGCACACTCCACCCCCAAATACACCCCCATTGCACCCTCCACCCTGCACATACACCCCTGTTGTTTTTAAGTTACATATACCATGATTTTACTCCATGTAGCTGCTGAAAATGAGTCATTTTAAGCCAGAAATTAAGCTTTTTATTGCAATAAAACTGATGATCAACAGTAAAAATCACACATTTGACCTCTTCCCAACAGGGAAAACCAGCAACAATCAAGAATGCATGATTATATACTGTCATGTCTTTGCAATCAAAAGATGTCCTCATAATTGAAGTCAATGGGGCAAAAACAGCCCCCAACATAATGAAAGGGTAGTCACTTTGCCCAGAGTCTATTGTTGAGTGCTTGAAAAAATTTCAAAGCATTTTCCCAAAATATTTGTCAAAGTAATATTTGTAACCAAACATCATTCCATTTGCTGTAACACAGAGAGAGTTGTGGTCAAGTTAAGACTTAAATGAAAACATCCCCCGCAGCACACAAGAGGTTTAGAAGTATTTTATTTTTTATGTTTTATAGTATCTGTTGAACTCAAGGTAAACTACAGTATGGTAATTCTAATGTTTGTTTCAACAAAACAATCCTGTGTTAAATATCTGTTTATTCATTTCCATATTCTGTGTCTTTTGCTTATTAACAGATGTAACAAAGTGACTTTTATTGACATTTTAGAAGTATGAAATAATAAAATGATGTATAAGAAATACTATATAGAGAAATAATTCTGTAAAATAACAGAAAATGTTCGGGCAGTTTATTACAAGTGTATTGTAGCGTAACATACAACACCAACCCAGACAATTTAGCACAGCACAACTATTAAAATGTCAAAAAAAGACCATTTTTAGTACTTGAAAGGTGTTGAAAAAAGATCAAGATTCCATAATGCAGTTCAAAAGCATAACATGAATCACAAAACATGTAAGCGTGCTAATTTATGGATATTGTTTACAGTATAGCCGCTACTCTGCTTATTTTAGCGATTTAAAGGCACAGTTCACCCAAAACTGTCATCATTTACTCTCCATTCACTTGTCACAAACCTGCTTGACCTTTTTTCTCCTGATGAACACAAAAGAAGATATTTTGAAGAATGCTTGAAACGTGTAACCATTGAATTCCATAGTATTTGTTTTTTCTACTGTGTTCAGTTCTTCAAAAAATTGAACACAACAAAAGAAAGAAACTCATAAAGGTTTAAAACCTCAAAAAGGGTGAGTAAACAGTGAGTACATTTTAAATTTAGGATGAACTATCCCTTTTGGAGCAACATGAAAAGTTAGGTCGGAATCTTACTGAACTTTTGGTAACACCTTACAATACTACACTAACTAGACTAGCAACGGTGCAATCGAAATCCCACTATGTAGAAAAAATCTACGTAAATTAGCAGTATTCATGTATTTTGTGATTAATGTTTTCTTCCTTTCATTTATTTATGTTTTTGAATTGTGTTATGGGAGCTCAGGCCCGGATTGGCTAATCGGGTCTGTTTTTTGGCCGCGAGGACCGGTGTTCCTAGCTGCTTGCACTCTCAGCAGTCACACTTTTTTCTTCTATTTATTTATTTGACCATAGCTTTACTCTTTTTAATCATTATTTTACCGTAGTGCCGCTCTTTTTATTTATTTTCTCGCAGCCCCGTGAGAAAAATGCAGCCTGCAGGTTAACTAACGTTAATGATGATGATGTAATGCAACTATCGACCCCAAACAGCGGCACCTTAGTGAATATAAGAATTCGAATAAAATGAATAAAACACCTGCTCAATGAAAATCAAATGATTCACTACATTAATAAATCTGACATAACTTGATCAGAAATCTAAAAATAGGAGAAAAAGATTGAGCCATCAAAAGAAAGTAGTGCTGTGTCTTAAGGGTCGCAAGTCATTAGTTATTTTTTACTCTCACTTTATTAGCGCCAATGTGGTCCAGTGGTAAGCACATTGCATTTCAATGTCGCAGATCTGTGATTGAATCTCCCATGAAAATTCGATTTTATTTGATTTTATTGTTAAGACATAAAATACTGTTAGGGCTGTTGAACATTTGAATTTTTAAAGCAGCAGTTTTCTTGAAAAAGACGCGATAGTGCCATTAGTAACTGAATTGGAATCAGTCGTGAACTGAGGTGGGCCGGTCTGGCTTGAAACTCCAGGGCTGAAAATGAGTCCCACTCCGGCCCTGTGGGAGCTTGCCCTTGACTAACAACTTTTGATGCTGAAAAAAGTACTTCTGTTAACATTTTTAAGTTTGAAGTGATATACATAGTATGCGATGGAAATAGTTGTAAACGGTAATACAAAAAAGTGGTAATAAACTTAATTCTTTATTATAGAGCTTCAAACTACTATGTCAATAAAAGTCACTTTGTTAAGGCTGATTTATACTTCTGCGTCAAGCGCAGAACCATTTCCCAACAGGGAAAACCAGCAACAATCAAGAATGCATGAGTATATACTGTCATGACTTTGCAATTAAAAGATGTCATCATGATGAAAGTCATAATGGAAGTCCACTGGGTCCTGCCCCAAAATGAGGGAGGGGGTACTTCTACATTAAGGTAGCATTCGGAAAAAACAAAACACTCGCAAGAAAAACCCAGCTAGCATTTCAGAAGTGTTATTGCAGAGCAACACAAACAGCACGACCACACGCATTGCAGGCGGATGATTCGACGTAAGTGTAAATCAGCCTATAGTTGAATTTTCAAGCAGAGATCACTGTAATTCCTGATCATAAATAAACAGAAAACACTCGTGACTCACAGATTCATTTTAAAGTAATGTTAGGAAAATGTAGAGGCAGTGTATATTTGTGTGCAAAATGATGTCAATCTGAGTAGCATGAGCATGACCGAATGTCACGTGACTGGGGAAGATTTGCGCAGGGGTGTAGCAACCTGGGAGGAAGGGGGAGAGGGCAATACGTCCCCCTAACTTTTAGAGCCAGACCATTTAGAAACAGGTGATTGATAATTATATGAATATAAACTCTCATTCAGCTGTTCCTCCACTTTTAAAATGTCCGCTACGGCCCTGTTTGCGTGTGCAAATTTTGCGTCTTAACAAATATTCGAATAAACAAACATTCAGCTTCAGTTAGAAACGCCTCACATTACATCAACAATGATTGCAAATCTTGTTCTATAATGGTGTTTTAATAGTGGCCCACTGCTTCAAAACACACCGTTACATTTAATGTGTTATTATGGATTTACTTTGATTTCAATATTGCTGTTATCGCTTTGTAGGATTTCATAGCAATCACAACATATGATGATAAGATAATGAATTGTATGTTGGAACGTAACATAATCGCACACCGTCTTTATATTTCACACCATTGTATGTGCATAACTGACGTCTCCGACATAGGCATATTCTGAAAGCGCACCCTTATTTACGTTTCTGGAGATCGCAGATTATGTAGCCAGAGCTACGTATGGCTGCATTTCGTCTTTAAAACGAACGCTACGGGGCGGTATTGCGCCATTCTTTTCGCTTACCTCCATATGGACGGCTTTCCCAATGTTACCAGTTTGCGCAGTGGCTCGTTTTGTACATCGGCAGACTTGAGACGCAGAGAAGAGTTGTCCACCACGACGGGGTTCGAGTCTGGTGAAGAACGATTTCAGAAAGCAGGTAAAACAAAAACAGAAAATTAGATAAACAGGTAAATAACAGGGTGAGAATGTGGTAAATCTGAAAACGTGGTCAAAATCAGACGAGGGCTTTTCTTTTTCTGGATTGCTTTTAAAAACTGTCGATTGGGTTTAGGGAAGTGGGTGGGCGCTGGTCAATCGGTGCTTTTGAAAACACTATTGGTTGGGTTTAGGCAGTTAGCTTAAGTTGCGCTCTAGACTGCCATTTAGCAGAGGGGGAATTTGTCTCCATCCCGCCCCTAGCAAGATGTCAGTGTTCGTGTCGCCCTTTCGTGGATGAAAGAGAAGAGCAGAAAAGCGGGATATAGTGGTCAATAGTAAAGAGTGTTAGGGGGAGGGAGGGTCTTTACGCCAGCCTTGGGTGATCGCCAACATTGCCAATACCTAAATCCACCACTGGGTTTAGGGAAAGAGGAGAGTGGATCTGTCAGTCAGTCGGTCGACAGTGGCCTCTGGTGGATTTACGCACGAACAGCAGGCACGAATGGCACTCGCGAGAAAAATCTGAGATCTCAGAAAGCATACACAGTGCCCTCTAGTGGATTTGTGAAAATAAAAACTGCAAAAAATGTAGCTCCTGAGACGTATTTGGCGCTCTCCGGAAATGTACATAGGGGTACGTTTTCAGAATGAGCCTGAGTTAGACGTCTCTGTGTTGTTTAAATGTTCAGAGTAAATGACTTTATCAGCGAAAACAGAAATATACGCTGACACAAACACATGCTGTAAAGGGAATACTGTCAAATCTGTTTGCCTAGTTTTGAACGAGTTCACAGTAGGTAATGCGAGTGTGTTTTCTTTTGTAGGCTTGTAAATGGACGTAAATTGATTTGATGTATCACTATTTTGTGACTGCAGTGAGTAATGAAACATGTTTCTTATTCTACATGTCTTTAATTCGTAAATAAATAAAATCTGAATTTGCTACTAGTGTTCTTTTTAAAGCTGTTTCACTTTGTTTAAGTCTTGTGCATATTTTGTGCCACATTTACATCAGTTTTGTGTCCTTAAATAATAACATGACATTAAAACAAGATACTGTGAGATAATGGCGCAGCCATTAAACCATTTGGTTTGAGGCTTCCGATCTTAT